AGATCCAGCTTTTGATTTCATTGATCGTGTGCATTCTGTTCTCTTATTTCTGCTGCCAACTTGATTTCCTGTATGCTGCTTGCTTTGAGTTTATTTTGCTATTCTTTTTCTAGTTTCCTAAGGAGGAAGCTTCTGTTATTGATTTGGGTCCTTTATTTCCTTTTGATACAAACATTTGAGGCTCTACATTTACTGCTTAGTGCTGTTTTAGTTACATCCTGCACATTTTGATATGTCATATTTTCATTTTCATACACTTCAAACTATTTCTTTATTTCCCCTGAGTATTGTCATTTGCCCCATGGATTATTTGGAAGTGTGTGGTTTCATTTCCTTCTGGTCGGAGATTTTCCTCTTAACATTTTCTTATATACTGGTGGTTTTTCTTCTTTGGTCAGACAACATTCTTTGTATGATTTCAACTTTTTAACATTTGTTCGGATTTATTTTATGACCCCAGATTCGGTCTACGTTGGTGAAACTTCCATATGCTGTTGTGATGTGGCCGGTTCTGTACTTGTCCTCTCTCACCACTGCTATTCAACATAGTATTAAGAGTCCTAGCTAGAGCATCGGGAACAAAGAAGTCAAACTGTCACCTTCTGCAGACGACATGATTCTTTATATAGAAAACCCTCAAGACTCCAGCAAAAAAAAAAAAAAAATAGAAACAATAAACAAATACGGTAAAGTTGTAGGATACACAATCAGTGTACAAAAACCCATTGCATTCCTATATATCAAGAATGAAATCTCAGAAAAAGAAATTGAAAATATATATATATATATATTACCTGGGAGGAAACTTAACATAGGATGTGAGGGACCTATACCCTGAAAACTCCAAGACATCATTAAAATAAATTGAAGAAGACACAAAGAAATGTTCTTTGTGTTCGTGGATCAGAAGAATCAACATAGTTAACGTAGGCCCACTACCCAAAGCAATATACAGACATAATGAAATCCCCCTCAAAATCCCAAAGGCACTTTTTAAAGAAATAGAACCAACAAAGTCATCAGATTTGTATGGCACCACAAAAGACCCTGCATAGGCAAAGCAATCTTGAGAAAAAGAACAAAGCCGGAGGTATCACACTGCCTGACTTCAAATTATACTGCAAAGCGACCATAATTAAAACAGCATGATATTGGCAGAAAAGCAGACACACAGACCAATGGAACAGAATTGAGAGCCTGGAAATAATCTCAAATATATGCGGGCGAATAATTTTCGACAAAGGAGCTGAAAACATACAATGGAGAAATGAAAACCTCTTGAATGAATGGTGCTGGGAAAATTTAAAAACCACATGCCAAAGAATGAAATTAGACTGCCGTCTGTCACCATGTACCAAAAGTAACTCAGAGGGTATCGAAGAGCTGAATGTAAGGCCTGAAACAATAAATTGCAAAGAGGAAAATATAGATGCCGCACTTAGGGACTTCAGTCTTACAGAGGATTTTGTGAATTTGACCTCAAAGCAAGGGAAGTCAAAGCAAAAATAAATGCATGGCTATATATCAAACTGAAAAGCTTCTGCGCAGCACAGGAGACCATCAACCAAACAAAGAGGCAGCCATCCGAATGGGAGAATAAATTTGCAAACAGCACCTCCGATAAGGGGCTGATGCCCAAAATATATAAGGAACTCCTCCGACTCAACAACAACAACAAAAACAAACAAACAAACAATCCAAATAAAAAGTGGGCAGAGGACCTGAACAGACACTTCTCCCAAGAAGACATTCAGACACCCTATGGACATATGAAAAGATGCTCAGCTTCACTCGCTATTAGGGAAATGCACATTACAACCACAACGAAATCCCACCTCACACCTGTTAAAATGACATCAACAGGACAAGTAATAACAAGTGCTGGAGAGGTTGGGGGAGGTTGGGGCGGGCAGGAAAGGAACCCTCATGCACTGCTGGCGGGAATGTAAATTTTTACAGGTTCCTGGGTTCTGACTCATGTAGATGACTCATCTGGCCACCACTGGAGCAGGTGAAGGGTCTCGTTTGCCTTGAAGCCAGGCTTTTCCCTCCATTGTGAGGTTGCAGAAGTAACAACGGTGTGGTACCTTCTCTGATGCACAAACCTGGGAACTTCAGGCCAGTAGACTGCCATGCTGTCTACTGTCCTAAGAAGGCTCTCAGATCATCATTTCCACAAAGTATCCTGATTCCAGTCTTGTCAGGCTTGCATTTAAAAGATTTCTGTTGAAATCAAATTTCTATTTGCCGTGCAGTTCCATACTTTCAAGTCGACTTGTGTTACTTGTTACCTACTAATTGTGAATATTTAGCAGTGCCCGTTTCGCAGTGGCTATTGGCTCTTACCCTTGATTGAATAAATCCACATCATAGTGAGTTTTCTACCACGCCTCCAGACCTGCGGCTCCACCACTGACTGCTGGGCAACACTGAGTAAGTTCCTTAGTATCTCTGTGCCTCAGTTTCTCCATTAGCAAAATGGAAACATTATTAGTAAATTTAGCTATTTCCGTTTGGAACACTGACTGTGTTAAGACAGGGACAGTTTTCTGGATGGCGCCTGGCATACGGTGAGTTCCCCATCAATTCTAGCTACTGTTAATATTGTTGCTGTTCCCACATTTCCCGGAGCATGTTCCAGAGAGACAGTGTCAAGAGGACCTTCAACTCACTGGATGGGCTTTGCACTATCTGTTCAGCTCTTCAGGGGCTCAAGACCTGAGCTTAGGGGGTGTGGGGGAGGGCCGGTTTGTATTAGCGTAATGAGGATTCCACTTTCCTTATAGGTTTACTGGGAAGCCTGAATGCGGTGCCTGGGTTTCATCCTCAGGCTCTCGATGGAGACTCTGAGCGGAATCTTCTCTAGGAAATTAGAACCCTAATGACCTGTTCATATGATTTGTATAATGCTTGGAAATGTAACGGGTCCCTGGATCATGCTAGAACATGAGTATATAAATGAAAAAATAAACCTTTTTAAGACTGAAATTTAAAGGCCGAAGAACCTCCTCATACGGATTCTCTTACTGCCATTGTTTCTATCATGTCCATTTCACCTACCATAAATTAACACGTAAATCTGGTATAAAGACATGAAACTGTTAATAGTAAAATTTTCACTGGAATCTTTTCATTCTTGTTTCGTTCTTACATTGTCCATTTTATTGTGTCGATATTTCTCCATGTCATGTTCATTATTTATCTAATGAAAGCCTTCCGTATTAATATTTTCTGAGCTAAATCATGAGGAGATGGTAAGCAGTGTTTCAGATGGAGAGTCTGAGAAAAGAGGCAAAGGGAAGAGGGAGTGGAGTGGAAATGGGGGAGGTGAACATGTGGGGGGCGAGGAGAGAGACGTGATGGGGCCACTGGGAGGGAGGGATAATGGGTACAAGGAGAAAGCAGAAGTGAAGAGACATGAGAATAAAAGCCCACACTTCTGGTGGCTACTGTGCGCTCTATCCCTCTCTCTCTCTCTTCGTGTGTAATTTCAGAAGTCAGTGAGTCTGCACAGCACCACGGTGAGGGAAGCATTTTAATGTTATCATCCCTTTTTACAGATGAGGAAACTGAGGCGGAGTTTAACAGATGAAGTCATTTGTCCAAAGTAACCAAGCCAGCAAGGGCAGAGTCAGATTTGTACCCACGCCAGAGAGGAACAGGAAAAGACGTGGGATCCGACTCTAAACTCTGGAACGCACCTCAGTGTCAGGTGTTCTCTGGATCAAAAGGCAGATGAACATGTGCAGCAGTATTCATCAGATTATATCAAACGTGTGTACGGATGGAACATGAGGTGTCCTAAGTGCAAGAAATACTGTGGAGGTGACGAGTCAGCATACACGCATCACAGAGAACGGTTTCTGGTCCATCGCAAAGTCTGTACATGTGTTTGCTACTCTCGATGTCAGTACCAACAATCTCATCATCATTATCATTATGGAATGTAATCGATGGTATAAATTAAGCACACAGAGCAGCAGATACACTATTATAAAGGGATTACCTCCTCCCTCCCATCTCATAATTTTAGAAATGCACAGAAAAGATGCCCAGAAGGCAGGCAGCACATATTAGGTCATTTTCTCTAAGTGGGGACCTCTAGGTGATTTTTAAATAACACTTTAGGCACTGTTTTATGTGCTGTATCTTCATTATTACACAGTCGAGTGCTTCTATTATAATTTTTAAAAAGGTTTTTGGGACGTTTCATTGTCGTGGCATCTTGATGCCTCGGGGTAAAAAATTGTTTTGATATCCTTGCCAGGTGAAAATCTAATCAGTGCATGTAAAGCAGAAGACAGATCTGCGGTACAGTAGAGAAGAGCTGTGGGGGAAGCAGAGAGGTCGGGATGGAAGGTTAGCTGTGTCTGCAAGTGTTGTGAAAATGCCACAGATGGATGACACAGGCCCAAACCAAACCAAACAGCAACTTGCAGATCCCTAATAGAGACCTCGTTCTATGGAGAGGAGTATCTATATTAAGACTTGTTAGGCCTTCCCTATCTTTCGGCTCCCGTAGTGCAGTGGGGCAGCATGTGGATGTTGTAAGAGGCAGTAACGCTTTGTGCTACGCTGCAGACACAGGAAAAGGTGGCAGCATTAGACAGATGTGTGGGAAGTAAGAGGAACGGAACTCAGCAAGGATTTAGACTTAAGGGGAAGGCGAGGAAGATGTAAATGGTTAAGACCGTTTCTGCATTTGGTAATGAGCACGCTGGTGCCTTCTGTTGGCATGCGGAATACCAGAAGAGGGCCAGGTCTGTGACCGGTTCTGAAATAAGACCTTTATTTTTATGAGCTCATGGTCAAAATGGAATACAAACATCAAAACTTAAATACTTACCTTATCAGATACTTTTCCTTTAAAGAAAAAAAAAGTCAGAGGTACTGAGATCGAATTTACATTTCAAGTATACAGTTTGCAGAGTTTTGACAACTGTACACAATCCTTTAACTGCCACCACGATAAAAATATGGAAAATTTCCATCAATTGATCATGTTCCCTTGTGCCATTTGCCATCGGGATCCTTCTTCCACTCCCATACCCTGGGAACCACAGATGTACTTCTGTGCCTATAGTTGTGTTTTTTCCAGAATACTCTTTACATAAAATCATATAATGTGTAGCCTTTTGGGTCCAGCTTCTTTAATTTAGCACACTTGAGATGCATTCATGCTGTTATGTGCATCGGTTGTTTGTTTTTAGTACTGTGCAGTACTCCTTTGTGTGGGTGTACCTGTTTATTTTCCTTTCATCCAAATTCCAGGGGTTGATCACTTGGGGATGTTTCTAGGTTTGGCTATTATGAATAAAAGTGGTATGTTGGAGTACAAGTCTTTGTTTGGACATATGTTTTCATTTCTCATGGAAAAAAATTTCTAGGAGTGGAAAGAATTTTCTAGGAGTGGAATTGCTGGGTCGTGTGGTAAATGTACGTATAACATTAAAAGTGAGTGCTTGATGATTGGATACCCACTCCAGCTTTCTTGTGATTGCTGGTTTGATGATGTATCTTCTCCCCTACTTTCACTGTGATTTTGAATCTAGACTGTGTCTCCCGTAGACAACATACAGTTACATCTTGTTTTTTTTTTTTTAATCTCGTCTGTCAATGTCTGCCTTTTGATTGTCTTGTTTAATATATTCACATATAGTGTTCTTATCAAACAAGGTAGACTTACATCTGCCATTATGCTTTATTTTTCTGTCTCATGTCTTTTTGTTCTTTGGGTCCCCCATTACAACTTTCTTTTGCATTAAATGGGTATTTTCTAATGTACCATTTTAATTTCTTTTACCATTTTTCGCTATATTCTTTTAGCTACAGTAGTCCCACGTATCCATAGGGGATACATTCCGAGATTCCCAGTGGATGCCCATAACCATGGATTGCACCAAACCGTACATGTACTATGTGTATACCTATACATACACGCACTTTAAGGCTTCTGTTTGGCATATGTGGATTGTTAGCATCACTGCTCTTGTGATTTGGGGCTGTTATTAAGTAAAATAATGGTTCCTTGAACACAAGCACCACAGAACCTCAACAGTTAATCTTATAATGCACATGCTTACCAAGTGACTAACAGGTGGGTAGTGGATACGGTGGATGAAGGGATGATTCATGTAGTGAGCATTGTGGGATAGCAAGAGAGTTCATCAAACTATTCAGAATGGTGCGCAACTTAAAACTTATGAATTGTTTCTGCTATTTATTATCTGGAATTTTTTCACCAAAGGTTTGCATTTTTAACTACTGATTTGATATCTGTAAAAAATATTGATCTATGCACTCACCTGGGTAAGTGTTATTAGTGTATGGTTATTGAGTAACCAATCAATTTCTTCTAAGTCGTTACATTTTTAATTAATTTATTAATCTATTTTTTATTAAAAATTACTGTGGCAACATTAGTAAAATCAAATGAGTTTCAAGTGTCCAATTCAACAATATGTCATTCATATATTAATTGCACTGTGTGTTCACCGCCAAAAGATGTCCTTCCATCACAAAACATTTGACCCCTTTTACCCATTTCTACCACCCATCTTCCCCCCTTCTCTCTGGTAACCACTAATCTACTGTCCATGTCCATGAGTCTCTGTCACTTTCAGTTTTATATCCCACATGTGAGTGAAATCATATGGTTCAACGTTTTCTGTGTGACTTATTTTGCTTAGCATGATTATCTCAAGATCCATCTGTACATGTAGAGTTGAATGTAGTATTGCCATATTGCCCCTTTCATATCTGCTGTGTCTATAATAAAATCACCCTTTTCATTCCAGTTTCAGGTAACTTGCGCTCTTGCTCTCTCTCGCGCTCTCTCTCTCTCTCTCTCTCTCTCTCTCTCTCTCTCTCTCTCTCTCTCGATTTGCTTGAGGTTTATCCATATTATTTATC